GACTCTGCCACTTCCCTGGGAAGCCCATCCCAGTGCTGACCACCCTTTCAGTGAAGAAAGTTTCCATAATATTCCATCTAAACCTCCCCTGCTGCAATTTGAGTCCATTTTTTCTTCTGTCACTTTCTAGCTGGGAGAAGAGACCAACCCACACCTTGCTCCATCCTTCTTTCTGGGGGTCGTAGAGGGATGGTCCCCATGAGCCTCCTTTTCTCCAAACTAGACACCCCCAGCTCCTTCAGCTGCTCTGGTCCTCTGAGACCTGGCTTTGGGAACAGGAAAAACACAGTTTTCCTTCAGAAAGCAGGGAGATCACTGACGTGCAAGAACTCTGGCAAAGAGCATGTGGCTGCTGATATTTTTTTCTTAGGAAGGATTAGCACATAGCACAAGTTCTAGGACATGCATTCCATGATTGTGTCCATGATTACCAAAATAACATTATACACAAAAGAAATACAATATTTGTGCAAACATTTGAATGGTGGCAGTCTCAGACTTGCTCTATCCAAGCTGTAGAGATAATTGAGCATCAATTTGCTCTGATGCAGAACCCTCATACCTATTACAGCTGGAGATCCACATCCAGACCAGCAAGCTCTGGCATGGAAAATTGTTCAATCAGCTACCTGACTCCAAGGAAGGGGCACCTGGGCATCATGGGCCATTTACTTTCTCACTTCAGCAAAGATTTAACCCAACCCAGCACTTATCATCTGGTTCATGATTTGTTTTTCATGGCTTAGATTGCTTATTTATCATCCCCTTTAAGAAAAGCAGGTCAGTTCCTTTCCTTTTCTTTATTCAAACAAAATTCCTGCTGGTTTCAATTTCAGGTCTGCTGCTCCAGCCCAAAGCCTTGTGTGTAGTTTTCAAACATTGCAGAATAAAGTTTATTTGTGCTGGGATACTTTTCTAATCAAATAGTAAATCCAACATGAACCATTTCAATATGTCAGTAAGACTTCAATAAGTGTAGTTTTGCAATATTCTTGATTTTGTGTCAACTGACTTCATTTTACTTCTACAACTCTGCATATTATTTACATAATACACTGCAAAAAATACCTGTAAAACCAACCATGTATTTATGGGGGGGTGGGGGTTTCAATCTATTATTTAGCCTGTGCTCCTTGTCAGGTTTGATTCATGTAAATGATTACAGAATTAAACTGCACAGTCAGCAACTCTGAATTTACTGTTCTTTCCTGGAAATTCCTACTGGAGATGGGAGGAGAAGGAAGGGAAGGCAGGGGAGGTGTGCCTTGAGGGCAAGCATTGCAAACCAAAGAGGAAAGATCCTTTATTCTGTCTGGAGGCCTCTGAGATTTCCACCTTCAACTCCAGACCCTTCTCTCCAATTTATCTCAAGACAGTTTCGTTAAAACACAAGATTATTTTTACTTTTTTGCCCCAACACTTCCTGCTGTTCACACTGTCCCTATCAATGCTCTGCCAGGTGACAGATGCATTTTTTTTGCATTTATTTGCTGTGGGTACAGACTGGGCACTGGAAATGCAGTGGGATGTCCATGCCTGAGCCAGGATGGATATGAACACACAGCTCCTCAAATCCTCCTCCATAACTGCTGCACCAGTCACACATCTGAGCCCCAGGTGCCACCCTGAGCTTCAGTTTTTGATCTGCTAGTAAAAGTCAAAACACATTTTTGGCCTATAGGCCATACAGAGAAAAGAAGGAGGATGTTCTGCCCTGGATTTCGTTGTATTTTGACATTCACACTCCCTAAACATAAATTATTAATGTTCAAATATATAATACTTTTTACAAGCACCTTCCAAGAACTGCCTGATTACCTGCAGATTTCTCTCCTCTCTACAGACATCAGACATCCATCCCAAGTCTCCACAACCTCAGCTTTCTCTGCACTTTTGCCCTCACTCTCACCTTTGTGATGTTTCCCAGCTCTTTTTATTGCTTCTTCCCTCCAGTCTTTACCTGAATTACTTGCAGACCTTATGCTGGGGTTTTTCAGGCTCTCCAATATTTCCTTCTGATGTCAGCACCTCTCTGCACTTCCAGCTCCCCCTCCATGAACCACACCTTGATCCCTGTACCCAGCAAGAACAGGGTCTGGATGTTGGAGTGCCCAGCTGCCAACTGTCAGGAGACTTTTCCAAAGCCAATGGAATGGAGATTTCATTTCCTTTTTTGGTTGAAACTGGCTAAAATTCAAAAACACTAGAAGGCAGGAAGGAAGACAGACAGAAGCCCTCATTAAAACCAAATGCTTAAAATTCCTACACCCATTATGTGTGACATTTAAAAATAAATAAAAAAGGTAAAAACAAAAACCCTTATCAATATTTATGTACTGCTTAAACTAAAGTCTAAAGGCTGAACTCTAGTATCCATTTCTTTAAAAAAGAGACATTGTAATTATCTTTATTTTCCATCAGATTTAAAGTGGGTATGACACTGATGTTTGCAGTTGTTGCCAAGTAATGTTTGCATTAAGGAAAGAACTTTCCAGAATCTCATGTCCTGCCAGTGAGGGGTCTGGGGATGCTCAGAGAGCTGGGAGGGGACACCAACAGGACAGCTGACCCCAAATGGCCACAGGGATATCCCATTCCATATGGCATCACTCTCAGCACATAAACTGGGGGGAAAGCTGGGCAGGGGTCATTGCTCAGGTACTGGCTGGGCATCTCTTGGCAAGTGTGAGCAATTGCATTGTGCATATATTCTAAATATTTTATCATTATTATCATTACTGTATTTTCTTCCTTTTTTCTCCCATTAAACTCCCCTTAAGTCATCTCACACATTTTCTCACTCTCTCCCTGGTGATTGTCTCCCTGATCCTGCCAAGAGGAGCAGTGAGAAGTGCCTGTGTGATACTCAGCTCCTGGCTGGGGTTAAACCCTGACAAGAATGGTTTGTGAGAAATAAGTACAAAATGCTGAGCTGATATTGTAAGGCACTGGGCACTGAGTGCCTATCATAAGGCACTGGGCACTGAGAGTGCTTTTGTGGAACAGGAAGGGCTGCAGGAGCACATTCCTGTGCCCCACTCCTTCCCAGGCTCTGAGATTCTGCTTCACCCACAGAAGCCTGAAAATCTGCAGTGATAATGAAAACATTAATGCAATCCAAGCTGCCTCACTACTAGTGGGGCTAACTATTAAAATCTCATGAAAAACATAATGAAGCATTTTTATTTTTTAATTTTTATGCACTAACCACAGAAGAAGGCAATTTATCAAAACCAGTCACCACATCTGACTAATAGTTTTGTACATTACAGGAATCCACCAGTAAGTGATGAAAGCTGATAAGCTGTAAACGATTTCTCTTCTTGTAAATATTGCAAAGTGTCCAGCAGTGTTGGTAATACTGCTGCAATAAAATCAATTTTTTAAAAAAATGAAAGAAAAGCTAAAAGCACTTCAGAAGTGCAGGGGGGGGAAAAATATTTTATCTTTTTTTTCATGTTTATGTTGCTTTCCTTCCTTTTTTCTCTGGAAAGACATGAGTCGTGGCTGTGTTGTTACAGGCTGCAATCTGGTGGGATGGCAGTGTTTAAACAGCATTTTTCCTAATGACAGCCTAAATGGCAGAGCCCTAAAGGAACAGCGAGGTGCTGGGAAAGGTTATCAGCTCCACTCAGGGCATTTTTCCCCTCAAATCAGAGCTGAACTAAGGTGCCATTAAAATATCAGGTGATGGAGAGTTTGGTGATGGAGAGCTTCTGTTTTAGCCAAGCTGCAGCTCAGAGAAAACTGATGGGCAATATTGTTTTGTCAGAGCAGTGGGGATGGGGCAAGGAAGAGGAACCAAGCAGGGATAACAACTGGGACAACACTCTGCTGGTGAGCATCCTCCCCCCCAGGGCTCCTGGTCATGCCCTTGCTATTAAGTGTTGTTCAGGAGACAAGAAGAAAGTGTTCTGCTTTGTGTTACTTGTCATTATAGTGGCTTCTCCCAACCACTAGATCTACTAATAGTATAAATGAAAATATCCAGGCATGATCTCAACCAACTCCTATTATTGATGTGTGATATTGGAGCCATTCTGAGCCTTGTGCTACCCAAGAGCTGGTGCAAATATCTACCAAATTATAATTTTTCTTCATTAAAGATGTGAATTCTGACATCCAATGGGCTTGCATTTTTCCTCTGTTGAAATAACCCCAGTATGAAAGCAACGAGCAATTTTAAAAGGTGAATACCCAAAGTACAACAGAACCCAAATGAAACTTTACCTGAGAGCCATAAAACATTTTTAAAACAGTAATGGGTGGAAGTCAGCCTTGTAAGGGGGCCAGCACAGGCTGTACTTCACTTAAGCTCTACTTAAGGCTTTAATGTAGCATTTAAGTGAAACTTAGCTGGTGCATGACCTTTGTGCTGACACAGTGCAGAGCTGAGTGCTGCCATTAATGATTTAACCCTCACAAGAAAGTTTTACTTTAAGGATCCTTTTACTGCTGCCACAACTTTAGAGCAAAAAAAAAAAAAAAAACCCCAAAAACATAGGGCTGGCTTTTCCCCTGCTTTTTAACAGTCCAAGGATCCTGGTGGCATGGTCATCTCTTGTTCCCATATTTCTGTATGCTATGGGATGAGGACTTGTCCTCTCAGCTGTGCTCCCATCCTGTTCCCTGGGATGTATTGTCCCTCTTACCTGGGTCAGAGGTGTATTGCCACTGGATGCTTAGGTCAACAAAAGTTTTAGCCCTGGAGACCTTTTGACATGAAGCCACCACTTCAGAGAATTGATTCAGGAGTCCTGACCCTCACATCTTGCAGCACTGGGTGCACAGGACAATATTTAATGGAGGTTTTCTGCCTCCCCTTCTGACAGCTGCTGTTTCCTTGTTCAAGAGAAATCCACAGGGAGGCAAGGAAGACTTCCTTAAGGAAAAGTATTAAACCACAACAACCAGGAACAACTACAAAATATTTGCTGCAGCAGAGCAGAACAGAGTGTAAGTGCTGCTCTCTGAAGCTCTGTATCCATCTCAACCTGCAGAGCCAACTTTGGAAATCACAGCCCTGGAGAACGGGGGTCTCTGCGACGTCCGCGCCTCGGCGTGCAGCAGGATCCGGGTGTTTGGCCTCGGCTTCAGAGACTCCCCCAGCCTGCACTGCCAGGTCACCAGGCTAATTGTAAGCTGCCTCCTCTTGGCTCCTAAAATATGAAATATGGATGATAGAGTCCAACACTGACATGTTTATATAGAAATGTTTTACTCTGATCTGTGCTATCTTCCCTCACTGCTTCAGCAGTGTTTCACCTTCCAAGCCCACTGCCAATGTGTTTGCTGCAAGTGAGGGGAGCTGAAGAGGCTCAGACCTTTCCAGACCTTCCATCCATTCACAGCTATGAATTCTTGCTCATAACCTCTGTAGAATTTTGTTTGACTTCTGTTTGGTTGAGGCGCTCTGTAGTCCATTGAAGCCTGAAATCACAATATGATTTCTCATTTTGTACATCTGGAATCACTACACTTGGTAGTTTTCCTAAACACATTTAAATGTTAAGTTTTGTGGTTGAATATAGGGTTTATTCACCACAGTTACAGAGGCTCTTATTTAAATTTTCTTAGTCATACTTCAACACCAAATCAGAGGTTTAGATGAGCATCAAACCCATCTCTTATGCAAGCACCGTAATTTTATCATAAACAACTATACACAGGCAATGCTGCAACTGAGTGGTTTGATGGATCAGCATCCTCAGTTATGAAATGTTTGATTAAACTCATAAATCCACCTCAGAACAGACACTCAGCCTGACTCCCAGTCAGTGCTGGCACGCTCACGAGGCACAGCTGAGATTTGCTGAGCCCCCTCAGGGCTCCATAGGCTCTTCCCAAGCTGGGATGTTTTGTGCAGCTGATCTGGAGGAGTAGCTGACATCACCTTCAAGGAGCCACGAGCTGGCTGCTGAGCTCCAGCAGGAAACACAAAGTTACTCGATTACATCAGCCCATCTCATCCCAGCTGCTCATCCCAAGTGCAGACCACAGCACTTCCTAAATCAATAGACCACCTGCATGCCTAGCTAAGCATGGCTTCCCCTTTACTGTAGCTATAGTAACAGCATGTTTCCTTTTAAATAAACCACGGTGGAATGCCTGATATTATTGATTATAAACATAAACATACACTGACAACTGGAATCTCTTTATGAGCCTTCATTTTCTGCACTCTCCCTCTGCTTTACTGTAGCATCTCAATGGCGAATGGCTATCAAGAGAAGAAGAAAGCACAAAAGCAGATTTCCTGAGTTCTGAGGCTGTGGACTGCCAGATCCCACTCCTGAACATCACAGAGGCTGTGCACTTCGTGGCCGGTGACGAGCCGTTCGCAAGATGGCAAGTGAAAGTAGGAATTTTATTATGTTTCTAAGAAACGCTTTAGAAAGAGAAAAATCAGTTGTCATGGTAAATTAAAATGCAAAGCACAGTTTTCTTCCTTTCAGAAATGAAAATGCCTGTAGAAATACTCGCACTAATGTCATGTAGAGGAAAAGAAAAAACACCCCACCAACCAAAAAAATGAGCTAAACCCCGGTGTCTCTGTAGCCAATCCAAAAGGGCAAATTACAACCACTTCTAGAGGTAATCACCTGAAATTGATGCAGTTGTGCTAATCAATTGTTAATCATTAGTATTCTATTTCTGAAAACCCCAGCTCAGACTCCTGATTAGGCAGCAAGTGTCAGAGAGCTTTGACTCCCTGGGTGCATAAGCGGTGCATGCCCTGGGCAGGCTTGAGCAGGGATGTCATGGTCACAGTCATGGTCGGAATGGCTGCAGGAAGAAGCATGTGCTCTATCTGCTTCTTCTGAGTTTTCTGCTGCAGTTTTAGCCCCTTTTTTCACAAAATGGTACCTATTTTTCTAAATATCCCCAGGAAACCAGTGCCTTCCCGACCCTGTGTGCCTGCTGCCCTTGATCTCCCTCTAGGCCTGGATGGGTTTTTTTCTGCAGATCAGTTGTTTTTTTACAAAACTGAGAATTTTTTTTAAAGCCTCTGAAGCTGAGAAGAATATATTGCCATTGTAGGGAGACTGCAGATGTGCCCTGAAAATTGAAGAATGCAAAATGAGTCACGTAAAACACTCCCCTCACCCCTGCCTTTCCTGCAGCCTGCAGCGGCCTGCACCCAGCTGGGGACACGTGCTGCCACGTGGCCTGGGGGAAACAGAAGGATGTTTGGCAGGATGCATCTTCTAGTCAGAAATTTATTTTTAAAAGACAAGGATTTGGGAGCTTAGGACATTAGGGTAAAACTCTGTGGGTGCAGACCCTGTTTGCTGCTGGGGTGGGCCTTGGACCTTCTTTGTGTCACACACCAGGGCTGAGCCAGGAGGGAAGGTGCTCTGCTCAAAACTGCTCCACAAAGTTATTGAACTCTGCCAGCTGCAAGATAAAATGCTGCTTCATGGTGGAAGGATCTGAGAGGGAGACACCCTGTGTGTTCCTGGCCCAAGAGGATAGGTAAAATCCTGGTATGGGCACAGGAAGGTTTCTCCAGTGTTTCCAGGACATCATCCTCACAGCACAGGTCTATTACAATTCTGATTGTGTTCAAGCGCTTCCTTTCAGCCCTGAGGAGGTCTGTACAATTTTTCTCGTCCTTTCCCCTCAAAAACAGCTAAAAATTCTCTTTCCATGCACTAAAGCTCCAGAAAAGCTCTGCACCTGCAAGCTTTCTGCCCTTTCCCTCTCCTTCAAACCCTGCAGAGGAACCAGGCTGACAGCTACGCAGCGAAAGCTCAATTAAATCATCTCAGTCTGCACGTGAGTCTGGAGCTCCTGTGGATCTTTAGATGAGCAAATTGGGAAGGCAGAGCCTAGTGCTCAGCTTCAAAGGCAGCTGGCCTTACATGGCAGCACAGAGAACAAAATCATGGAGATTTTCAAGATAAAAAATTACTTTCAATTAAGTCCACAGGTGTTCAAAAATTCATGTTCCAGAAAATTCCTCTTATGACTTATTGCAGCTCATAAGACTTATTGATGATCTGGGTTATGTATCTATGTATCTACTTTTCAAAACACAGCTAAAGTATTTTTCAGAACCAAAAGTCAACACAATTTTTCTGGAAATGTCACTGTTCAATATTTTCAGAATCTTTCCCCCTTCCCAAATGAAATTTCAAAGGAATCAGGAAAATTTGACTACAGCTTTTTTCACTACCAGCATTGGGGGAGCAGGAGTTCTTCTCAGTGCTTTTTCATTTAATCTCCTGTTGTAGTCATGTTTCAGATTTTGCCCATTGTTCCCATGACATGCTGCTGAACGCAGATAAGAAAGTACATGTGGCTGCACCAGAGTGTTTGGCATAATTAATTGAGATATCAAAATACAAACCCATGCCTGGCCAGCAGATGACTTGAGCTCTCCAGGCAGATGCCTGGGTGAAGAGGTGAAAGAACTTGGCAGGCACTTATCTAATTTTGGAAGCAGTTCTCATCCTTTTCATTAAGTTGTTGTTGCTGTATTTGTCTAGAATAGAAAAAAATCACCAAAAATTCAGTGAGGCAAAAACTGAATTTGAACTCAGCACAGTTTTACACCTTTCATTTTTTTTTAGAGACTTTCTTACAAAGTCTATGTAGAGTGATGCCAATAGCCAAGATCATTTCATGACAGGTGAAAAACCTGAGAAAAAAAGCAACAGAGTTCTTGAGCATTCTTTGCATTTTTGGAGAAACTGCTTCTCCTTTCCAGATGATACCTATGCCCAGGCAAACAAGGCCCAGCTCTAAGTGGATTTTTGCCTCTTATGGTCCAAACAAATTAAAGGTTTGCTCAGCTCACTTCTCATCAAAGTATTTGTTCCACATCACTAAGATGACTAATGAAAAGGCAATTAAAATAGCTATAAACCAGCCCAATTCTAAAAAGGGACCAAAATAGATGTTTATAATAGAATGTAGGAAAAAAACCAAAATAGATTAAAAAATAATCTAATTATAGGAGTTACATCTCACTCACAACACTCCAGACAGAACAATTAGTGCAATTTTACAGCTTTTGATATTTTTCCCTGTCTAGCCATTTTTTTCACCCATTATTAGTGCACTATGTATTGAGTGTATTGAGACAACATTGGACACTCCAGTAAAATAATGAATTTAAATTAAGTTTAAATTGCACTAGGAATAATAAATTCTTAATGGAAATCTTGCTGCCAGAGTCTTTCAGTGAAGAGCAGGTGTACAGGGGGTTTCAGTTTTTTCTCAAACTACAGGAGAAATCCTTTATTTCTTTGAAAAGCACTTTTACCTATAGTACAACACACTATAATCTAATACGTCAATAGTCTAATATTTTCCTTAAACCGATGAATTTTACTAGATCAATGAATTTTTGAACCAATTTATATTAGTCCAAAGAAGTTATTTCACTTCCACAAGTTGAAATTGTGAATATCCATGAATGCTGCCTGTGCCTGCCCTTGTGGTGGTTTCTGTGGTGGCAGAGAAAACCACTCAGCTCAAAATGTAGAACCATCCCACATGAGACAGTGTAGGAGAATCTGCTCTATTCTCTTCCATGAACTTGCAACCAAGTCATGATAATTGCTGCTTTTTATGAAACTTACCATGTATTTTTTGATCTCTGTACTTTTGTTTATCTTTGTTAAATTTAAGGGTTTTTTTTTTTTTTTCTGTGAGCTGGAAGAGTTTATTGAGTGATCAAAAACTTTATGGCCTCAGTCTTGTAAAAAATCCCCTGCAAAGGGACCAAGGATGTTTCAGCTTTGTGGTCTCGGGAGAGATGGAGGAGGGCTGGGGATTCTTTTTTAACACCAAGAAAACACAGGAGTACCTGATGAATCCAAAGCAAACCCTGTTAGATTTGCTAAGCAGCAGCTTTATTTTGATTGAGAGAAGACAAAACCTGAAAAATACCTGACAAAAAGGTTTTGCTTTCCTGCTGGTTCTCATCTGTGTCTACAGCATGGCTTTCCCCCAGGGTTTTGAGGTGCTCTTCAAGGTTCACACCACTCAAGACGTTTCACAAAGCACTCTCAAAAGCTTTCCACTTATCCACACTTCTCTGGTATCTTTTCATTTTTACTGTGGAAAAATTAAAATATAAATGTACTCAACTCTTTTGTATTGTGCAAGCACTCTTATATAAAAAAGGGCATGTTTAAGGCTTCCTGAATTATCCATTATGAGCTGGGACAGGTGACTGCTCTAATGTACCTTCCTACAGAAATGAGACTGTTTCTTTCTCTCATTGTCATCCCTTGCATCTTTTATAAGTTTAATTTCAAACAAACCTATATAATTCATATTCTACTTTTTTTCAGGCCAAGGATTTTACTTTGATTTGCTATTAGTAAAAAAGTGGTTCTCATTCTCATTTCAAATAAATCTATATAATACACATTCTTTTTTTTTTTTCACTTTCAGGCCAAGGATTTTACTTACTGATTTGCTATTAGTAAAAAAGTGGTTCTGAGTCCCAGCCAAAAATGTTAACTGTTTTCCACAACTCCTTGAAATCCCCCTTGTAGTACTTGAGTAAAGCTTCCATGAGGGTATCAGAGAAAAAAAAAAAAAAAAAAAAAAAACCAAACCTTCAGGATAAAACCTAATAGCAATCAGAAAGCTGAATGCCAGCTGAGCCAAAAGATCTTCTGGTTATTAATGAAGAATTTCCAGTTTGGAGCATTAAGCAATTTGTTAGCTCGCAGAGCCGCTCACAAGTGGTTTAATTTATCCTGCTGGCACGCATCCAGATCAAAGGGGCAGTGCTGTGGCTCCACAACGAGCAGACAGTCTCCATATGGAGCATGATGAGTTCTGAGGATGATTTTTGTCTCACTCAGGTCACTAACGACGGCGTGCAGTACAGTAACTCGCAGGTGCTGACCCTGTACGACGCGCTCTGCCAGCTCTGCCAATTCCACCCCACCGCACTCTGCAAATTAAAGGTAATTTAAAGATCATCAAGGTTTCATGTGGATCCTTCATCTCTCCCTTAGCCCTCTCCCTCCCTCTGATGGGCTGGGTGTAATAACTGCTCTGGAAGGGGAAAACCTATTTCACAGATCAGCTGCACAGCCCCACACTTTGCTTTTCTCTTTCACAGCCTCGTGTCTGCGATATTTTATTCCCTTTTCATATTTACACCTGATAAAGCATGCTTTATGATGGACCTTCCTCACACAAACACCTCAGGAAAGCTCATGGCTGCCAATATTTATCCTTTGCAGCTGTTAGTGGGAGTAAATAAGAGTGAGGAGCCTGCCCTGAGAGGCTTAGCTTCACTTCTGAAGTGTCTCTGTTATTTTCCCTCTCCCAGCCTGTTTGGTGAGGGTATATCATTTCTATTCCCATTTTCTGCTTTAGCAAGAGGCACACAAAGAAGCATGTTATACAGTTTTTGTCATGTGAGAACACCCTTGAGAGAGCATCAACCATTCCTGCTTGCATTAAACACTGCTAAGTACAAACACTGAGTATTCTGACAGTTTCAAAACTGTAACCAAAAGTCTACAGCTATGTTTTAAACTGCCAACATATTAAAAATTGCCTGCAGAGCACTATAATCCTCAGTTTTCCTGTGGAATTATTGGTGTAGCACCCCTTAAAAAGATCTTCTCTTCTCTTTTTTCCAGAGGCCTGCATTAAGCAAATTATCTGGTTTGCAGTGGGGCTTCAAAAAAAATTTTGGAGGGTATTAGGTGGGATATTTGAATGTGCTGATTCTGCTTTCCTACCCTGAGGCAAGTATGAATTAATAGGAGGCCACCAGTCTGCTTTTTTTATAAAATGAAGATTAATCAGGTACATCTTAACTCATTTGCCTCACTGTTCTCATTAATGCTAATGAGAAAATACAGCTTTAAAACCTGTACTGATTGCAAGCACACACCAGTTACCAAAACTTTTTAAAAGTTCACTTTTTTCCATGTGAGTGAGTGAACAGAAGTTACTTTATAGTAACTTTATAGGCCTATGTGGTAGTTTGACCCTGACTGGATGTCTCAAAGTCCCTCTGTCACTGCCCTCAGAGAGATAAGGGCAGGGAAACCCAGCACAGCTCAACTGAGGGTAAAACCACTTTAGTTTTAGATTAAAATAATTGTGTTAGAATCATTTCACTTAAAGCTAAGGTGAGGGCTTTTTGTCAAAGGCTTTCATATAGTTTTGAAACTCAGAAATGGATGTGGTCTCTCAATATGGTGTTCTCTAGGGATTATAGTAATTTCTATTCTAAGATGCTTCAAGGGAATATTTGAGCTAGGCTTCCAATTGCATCAGACCACAGTCTAATTATACCCCTTCTGCATTACTCTGCAGCACCTAAATTGCTTTCAGAAAAGGTGTTTCAATTAGGGGACATTTTATATCAGCCCATTTCACATTCTGTGTTCTTTTATGGGGCCCATTCTGTACCACACTGTATCACATCAGAAAAAAAAGTCTTTTTTTTTTTATCATAGCATCAAGCCCTTGAAAACAACAATGTAATAAAATCTAATTAACATCCAGGGTTTAGTGCTGGAGATCTGTCATGTTCTATCATGTTGTGGCCATTATGAGAATGCTTTTTGTTTCTCTACCTGACCCATTACCCTAAAGTGGTATTACTGACTAATGCAGTTTGCAGAAGGAGTTTGAGACACCAGTAAAGCAATAGACAGAAAATTCAGGGCCAGTAACAGGACACATATCAGTCTCAGAAAAACAAAGGAAGGAAAGGGAAAAAACGTGTTTGGTAGTTTGTCTGTCCTGCTGTCCCACTGTGGCAAGGACATGCCCCTTGTTCCCAGGATTATTCCATGTTTTTCTGGGAATCTGCATGGCCAGATAAAGTCCCTCCTGCCTAGCACAGGCTACAAGGCCTGACTCCTCCATAGGACCTTCCCATGGGATAGATCTTTAACTCCATCTGTTAATTATGTCCCTGTGCTCCCTTTTTAGACACCCAAATGCCTTCAACTCATAGGGGCCCCCTGGCCCTGGTGGGAGAGGAGCAGGTCAGCCCAGAGGCTGCTGTGCCCACAGAGCATCCCCTCACAGATGGCTTTGGGGATGTTCTACCCCACCAAGGCACCAGGGATGTGCTCAGCTCTCCCCTGCCACTCCCTCATGGGAGCCTGAATTCTCATGCACTTCTTTATTCTGCCTTTATAGCAGAATTTCCTATAGCAGAATTTGCTTTTGCAAATGTTTAGGAAGAGCAGGATTCCAATGTTTCAAATGGAAATAATGTAGTCTCAGGCTTTGGGAGTCTCGTGGAGCTCACCTTTCATGGATACCTGATATTCCCCATATGAGCAGTCACAGCTGGAAACAGTGACCACATGCACCACACGAATGTGCAAATGGGAAAAGTCACATTCTGTTGCATCCATCATCCATTACAAAACAACACTCCTTTGCCTAAGCTAAAACATTCAAAGCTACAAGGATCCCAAGCTGAGACTGGAAAACTTCCACAGTTTCCTCATTGTAAGCAGAAAGCACCAACATTTAAATTGCTGCTGTTTCCTTGTTTCAAGAGACAAGTGAATTTCTGCTTATATCCAGAAATTATTAATTGCTAATTTCTTATCTTTCTTATTCCTTTTTTTCATTGCCTTCATTTCCCACCCATTTTTATATTTCCTTTTCTTTTTTTTTTTGTCAGGAAAATACATGCAATATAGATGGACTTTGCTATGGTGAAGGAGAGTCAAGTCCTACAAGCCCTTGTCTTCTCTGTGAACCTGACATTTCTAAGTTCACCTGGTCTGTTAATGAAAGTAAGACAGGGGTTTCTTTTCTAGAATTTAGAAGCACTTATCTGGGAATTTATGACTTAATTTATGAAATGTATCATTCCTCCATTTAGCTGAATCTATCATGTGAGTGCACATGGGCTGTTTCTAGTGGGAATAATTGGGTGCATCAGAAGTACAGACTCCTCTGCATGCACTATGCACCTTATTCTGTCTGAAACCTGATAAATCTCAGATTAATAAATGAAAAAAATGCCATAAAATTAGAATTTGATATGCCAGTGGCCCTTGCAGTACCCAAGTCTGTCAGCTAAAGGTGATGAACCCTAAATATCTCTGTCAGCATCTCGCAGGTACAAATTTTAAGGAGGCAATTTGGGGAAAATACTGTTTTTAAAACACTAGCATGTGTTTTTGGTGTCTGTAAGAATTGCTTCCTTTTGCTGAGCCAAATCCTATGAAATGGCTCATAGCAGAGCTTGGCTTGGCAGGGAGTCCAAGTGATAGGGCTCAGGCACTCATTACCTGCACTGCCACAGAGCCCTCATTCTGCAGCCCCTGGAGGCAGGGGGCATGGGGAGGCTGCCTTTTGAAGCATCCCCTGAAGGATGGAGACTAAATCATAGTTTTTTATGGCTACCTGCCCAGTGTAAACAACAACCACTGCTCACCCCACTCTTTACAGACAATGTGTGCTTCCAGCAGCATTATCCTCACAGCCCGTCTCCTCCCTTGCATGTTTGCATCTGGTCAATGTAAAGATTATATTATTGTTTTTATGTAAATCCATGTGGTGCTTCCAGAAGGGGTTTCTCTGCTTTTTAGGCTTTGTAAACCCAAACACATTATAGTATAGAAAAGTGTGTGAGTCACAGAACCAGCCTGCTTCAGTTGTTTGGGGTTTTATTACATACCAAAAGCTGGCCAACTAAAAATATGGATGAGCAGTTAAAATGCCTAAGGGTGATTTAGATCTGAAAGAGAGACTACACTTGAAAGCTGTGTTTTTTCACCAGAAAACTATTTAATCCAATGAGGGATGTTACCTGTGACTCACAAACCTTGCCTCCTTTCTGTCATATAATAATAGAAAGTTTTGAAAGGTTTGAAATGGACCTCAAAGATCATCTTGTCCCACCCCCTGCCATCGGTAGGGACACCTTCCACTAGACCAGGTTGCCCAGAGACATATCCAACCTGAGCTTATATTCTGCTGGCCAGAGCAGCAGCATCCCCAGGGATGAGCTGATTCTGGGTGTTACAGACAGACTCATTACTAATACCAAGACAGCTTGATTTTCAAATTCAGGATATGGCTGAAAAATTAAAAACTGTTTTGAAATTTGTGAAACTGGAAGTGATTTGGGAATTCTGACACACATCATGGTTCACTTTTAAATTATGTCAAAATTTAAAAATATTTATAAGAAAGGGTTTGTTAGACCTTTTTTCAAAAGTATGAAAACTTCTTTAAAAGTCCTGCAGTAATAGGGAGAATGAATATATATTTACTGGATGGCAAGCAGATCTCTGTAGGATTAGAAACACTCCTCCACAGACTCCTTTCAGAACATCTGATTTTATGTTATTTTGTGCCTACCACTTCCACTCACCATCCATTCAGCTAACACCTTTGTGTTTATCCATAAATGCATACCCTGCATCAATATTTTATTGATTACTTTGGGCACAACTTTTATGGGCTCCATGGCTTTAGTGTTTGGGAAATAAAAGGTAAATGAATAGATGGAAGCTTTCAACAGTTATGCCAGGACTATCTGCTGGACAAGCATTTTAGAAAGCTCTCATAACCCAGCAGCAATAAAGGAGACACATATTTAAATAATTGCAACATCTAAGCCGTGCTATGGAAAGCAAAGTTGGATAAAAATTATATGCACCACAAAAAATCCCCTAATGATGATTTCCCATGAGCGTAGGGCAAGGAGTCCTTATGAGAACATATACATAGTTCATAATGTTAGAGCATGGCTTGAAATTATTCCTGGGTATTGGAAATGTGCTTTAATTTAAACATAAATATAGTCAAATTACACTGTGAAAGATTCATTTAAATATCAATACCTGCCAATTTGTACTGCTGGCTAAAGAGGAAAGATGCCTTGAGACTGAGGAGGCTTAGGACATGGAGATGAAATTCCTGGCCCTGAAAAGAGCTGCTGGCACCTCAGGGTTCTCATCTGATCTTACTTTTCCTTGGTTTCTAATTATAAAATGTAATCATTTTCTCTACCTTGTCCTCCTTACCTATATACATTGAAAGTGTCTTCAGGTAGCATTTATCTTCTGCTGCTAAATACCCTTGTAAAATTAGGGGGGTTTATCTTCATTAAGGAAATAGTGAATGTAAACAGCAACCCTGGAAATAACAATGCCAATGGTGACATGATACTGTCACTGGGGATGGACAGTCTCTGGCACTGAAAAGACCTTTGTTCCTGATGAAATGCCCAACTGAATTCACTCAAACTGCTTCTTTAATTACTCCTCGTAGGTAAAGACAGGAGAGTCAACTCAGTGGAAGGGTTACAATTTATTTTCCCTTCTGAGTTGCCTGCCCAGTTCATTTGTCATTCAGAATTTCGAGATTTATTTTATTTATGTTTAAATGGATAGATGATAGGTAGATTAAATATGTATGTAAGTATAAGAAATATAACTAATTATATCATTATATATTATATATTATATATTATATATTATATATTATATATTATATATACTAGTTTTAAGAAGAACTGGGACTAGGGGGATGTTATAGAAATCATGTATTATTTACTCTCAAGAATCAGATAGCACATCAAAATTAATCCAAGTTCAGGATGGGACAAAAATTCAGCATAGGGCACAAAAAAAAAAAGGGGGGGGAGGAAAATGATGTTCTTTTGGTAAAGTTATTTACTGCCTCTAACACACAAATCTCTTCCTCCATCAGCCTCTGGGTATGATCTGCATGTTTTCTTTGAGAGCATCCCTTCAAAGACCCACACTGAGAGCCTTTACGTGGGAGAAAGTGGAGTTTATGTAATCATGGTTTCATTTTTGCTGTTTAGACAACCTGCCTCCTGTGTTCCAGGCCCCCTCCAGCCAGCTGCTGACATTTATTGGTGAGAATTTTGTTTACCAGCTAATAGCGGTGGATCCAGAAGGGTCGGCTGTGCTATTCATCTTGGAGGCTGGGCCACGGGATGCCAGGCTCTCCCCTGCTGGCCTGCTCCTCTGGAAAGTGGATTCAGAAGAAATGCAGACCTTTGAATTCGCTGTGTCAGATGAGTGCAATGCACAGAGCAGGTACTCCATTGAGGTAAGGGAAAGAGCACTTTAAAAACAAAACAAACCTCTTTGTCATGTCAGTGCAATTGTGCAATTGTCATCAAAGCTGATAATTTGTTACTGCCTCGAAAAACAAGGCTTCAGCTGTTTCCTCATAAGTGTATAATATCCAGCACAGCAATAATGATCAATTAATGGAATAAATATCTCTGAGAACATAGAAACTATATACACAGGGAACAAGAGAGAGTGCTATTGATTGCTGTTTGAAAGAACATTCTTGCAGAGCCTTTTAATGGTTCATTAATCTGCTTTAAAATTCACATTTTGCATCTGGATTGCACAAAAAAAAAAGCATATAACATAAAAGACCAGGCTTTAGCTATAAAAGGGAGATTATATCTCATTCTCAATGATATTTTTAGAGGATGTCTTGCTCTTATGTCTTTACTCCACACTCTTAAGTTTCTTGGCAGAGCTTGTGCATGGCTTTGTCTTTATTGTATGGGCTAACATCAATCCTCAGATCAGATAAGCTAATAAAGCAGGACACAGACTCTTGACATAAGAACAGTTTTGTGAAGAAAAGCTTTTTATTCCCAGAGATTCCTATTTTTACTCATTCAAACCACAAAATACCAATCTGCTGAACCCACACAGCAAAGGGGAAACTGGAGCCTAGATATGGCTTTAATGGAAATATTTCAAGCTAGACCTGTGTTATCTGGGGGAGATAATGCAGAGCTTTGAATCTGTAGAAATGCAGTTCTTGTAAATACCTAAAATACAACCATGGATCTCCCTTTCCTGAAGGGAGAGACCAGATAAGGAATGCCACAGTCATGTTCCTGCCTGGGAGCCATTTGTAATGTGAAGGAGGAAGGTGGGCAGGCAGGCAAAGAGAAAAGATTTTTCCTTTCTTCTTTGAAGAATAAGGAACAAATTCTGCCCTCAGATACGATGTGAAATCTGCTGTTACAGCAAACGAGATTGGGTTTTTTTTTCCTTATAAGAAGTCAGAATATGCCCCTAAATGATGAAAAAAGAAATCCCTTTGAAGTAGAGCTCTCAGTCAAATAAATAAGTACAGTGAATATAAGGCCATCCATCTAGACAAAGGAAATTGGTTAGAAATAGATTTCCATAATAGTGGATAACATGTTTGTAGTACAAATCTCTCCCTTCCTAAAGGGGAACAATCCCCATCCCAGCTGTGGTTATCCAGAGGAACCTTACCAGAATCCCCTCTTGCCTTTTCCAGGTTGGAGTGAAGCCCTGCAGCTGCCTCAATGGTGGCACCTGTGTCACCAATATCAAATACCCTCCAGGCCTTGGTGAATACCTGTGCTTGTGCCCAAATGGATTTGATGGAGAATTCTGCCAGGAGGACACCAGGGACTGCAAATCAAACCCCTGTGGCAGTGGGACCTGCGTGGACAGCATGGGGAGCTACTTTTGTCAATGCCCCCCTGGTTTGGGAGGTAACACCTCTCTGTTTGCATCTCTGCTTTAACCACAGATGTACTGAGATACAGCAATTTTGAGTATGGCATGACCAACATCTGCCAAATGGACTGAAAACAAAATCATGCTCTTCTGCTGCCATGGCTTAGCTTTAGACATAGAAAGATAATATTTCTCTATCTAATAGTGAGGGAAAATGGCTTAAACTCTGTTGTCCTGAAATGATCACTCAAGGAGGATGTGAACCTCCCAGATCTCTGTTGCTTCCTGCTCATTTCCTGTGGGTTTGTCCATCCATGATCTCGTGGATGCAAGGAGATCTCATGGATCAATGATCTCATGGAGCAAAGAGAAGGCTGAGTGAAAGAGAGAAAAGGCAAAGATCCAGGGCCTTTTTGCACTTGACAGGATTTCACTTAATTAAGCTGAGGAAAGAACAAGGATTAAATGATGTTTCTTAGGTCTTGGAAGAAGTAGATATGGAAAACATGGAAAAATAAATTGTCCTTTAGTCCTGCTTGAAGCTTCGTTAAATTTAAGCACAGTGAGAAAATCACAAGCCTAGTGAGTTGTCAGACATCATGATGAAACAAAATCCAACCCCTGAAACTCTTCAAGACTGGTGCTCTGGTTTCAAAATTATATCCAGGCCAAAACCAGAAAAGCTGGCCAAAATGTGATTTTAAGAAATTAAGGGAAGAAAGATGATCACTTAACCCCCTGCTCTGTGCACATTCTCGAGACCCATGAGGTTGGCTGCTGCCAGTGTTAGAGGTTTGAAAAATAAAGTAGAAGTAACATCAAATTTACATAATTATTACTGCTTATTGTGCATATATACAGAAAAACACTCATTTTTAAACAAAAGCAGTGAACAGATTTTACTCGGTGGGCAAAGTACCCTTCCTGCCTGTCAGCAGCTTTATTGCTTTGGTCATGAGGGACTGCAAGCCCAGATTTCATTTCTATAAAATTCCAGCAGAAAAGAAAAACAAAAATCCTTCAGAAGTCCAAAAAAATGGCCTAAATGGTGTGTGACACCTAATCTGTGTTGACTCCAGGTACTGCTACCTATGGCCAAAGTCTTGACACCACCCCAGACTCCATTGAGGCAAGAGCACACAAGCCTAAGCAGGGAGAATAAAGCTCTAACATAGAAGTTTAATCAAAATATAAAAATCCCTAAGCCAACCAAACACATGCAGAATGTCTGTGATCCCCTGGAAAGAACAGTCCTATGAGCACAGGAAAAATTGGGAATTTTTATGGTGTAATTTATGGAGCTATACAATGAGAAAAAGTTTTGATTGCCTGTAAGGAGTTTGATTAAATGAATAAAAATCAATATAATTCCATGAGTTAATAACTTCAGTGGACCTGCTGACTGGAGAGACAAGGGCACACAGAACCTTGATGGCAGAGAAAAAGCAGGTTTTCCTGCACCTTTAGATCTTGCAAGTTAAATAACAGTGCAAGGGTTTTGCTGTTCTTCCAAAATGCCAAAACACAAGCAACTAAAGCAAATAAAATAAGATATGATTGAGTGAAAAAGGAATACATCTCAAAGTTTTAATAGCAGGTGAAAAATTATAAACAAGTGGAGCTGCAAGCCAGCTGGGAAGCAGATGATTTTACTTCAGGGCAGGTTCGGTGACAACAATAAAAGCTCATTCTTGATGCTGTGTTTATGCCTCAATTCCCCAGAAAACCATCAATAATCTAATGAGAAGGCAGTGCTGTGCAGCTCAAGTGACAGCATCACTTCCTCATCAAACCTTTACAAATGACAGCAAACAGGCAGTAGAAACAAGAAGGGAACTTGTGAGAGCTTCCCCAACAGCCCTGCAAGGGAAGCAGCAGCTCAGCTGCATCAGTGTGGGGGTAAAATGTAAGAATGGCAACAAGGCAGGGAGAAAAGCCAGTAGGAAATCTGAGAGAAGGCTGATCCAGAGTTATTACTGGATTTCTGAGTGTTCAAAGCTCATTCATTTTTCATCTGCATTGTCAACAACACAACAAAGCTCCCTGTTGTTTATTCTTTTGCCCACAGAAAGCAAGAACATCACCCACCTGAGAACTCATGCTTGATAACTATCCCAATCACAAATTCATTATTTCTTTCCCCATATAGCAGTGATTAGTTCAAAGCTGGGGGTGGGATGGGCAGCAAGATGGAACCATAATTTCATTTTATATTTCAGGGAACTGAAGAAACTCCCAGGATTTTTTACTGGTTTCTAATAACCATAGAGACCCTAAATGTGATCTTTCTGTTCCTTTAGAGTCAGCTTAATGTGAACACAGTCAAAAAATCTTTCTTTGCATCTGTAGGTGGTCAGCTCCTATCGAGGCATGAAAGGACTTTATTTTCTCAAACAACTTCCCATGCAGGGATGGAGAAATATAGCTGGCACACACACAGATGGTTCAGCCTTGCAACTTGATGAACTTCTATTCCTATTATTTTTATTTGTACTGTAGCAGTGCCAAGACAGTTGAGACTCCCCTGTGCTACAGTGCACAGGAGAGCCTGTAAACAGAATAATTGACACTTCTTGGTGCAGTTTCATGTGCATTTCTGCTGCTTCTTCAGCATCATGCAGCCAAGTTTCAGTCTTTGCAAACATTTCTCCTTGGATTCATCAGGTTTGTCATTACGCCCAAATTGGTCAGACACTGTTTAAAATCTCTGTGTGAAAAGCAGTGCTTGCATCATTTCACCTTTACATCACAAAAATCAGGCAAGGGGCCTAATTTTATCTTGTTACTTATGGTATTCCTTTGATTTCTGTAATGCCCTTGTCTTAGGGACATGAAAGACAGCCCTTTGCAGTGAAAAAAGGGTATTTAAAGGTGAGAAGGGAAGTATGAGAGGGACCAAAGGAGAAGTGACTGAAGTTACTGAAACTGGGGACTCTGATCCTCCTCTCATTGTTTTTGGTAGCAGGTTTATTCTTTGTATGATACTCAGAGAAAGAAAGTAATTACTAATTTAATCAGAGGGCTACTCATTCAATATTTTCCATGTGATGTTTAATAATTTCCCAATGCATCACCAGAAATCAGCATCAGAGAAAAGCAGCCTGATGTCAGGAATGTGATAATTGAAATATAATGAAATATGAACAGTCAGCCAAAATTTAACAAGGGAAGGAAAAAGGTAAACCCATATCCACAATGCTGTGTGATGTCCAGTTTCAATAAATGAAGCAAGCATGAAAACCATAATAAATTAGCTTGAGATGGCACAGGAAAAGGAATGCAGCTTTCTTGCTGCTGCTCTTTTTTTTCTCAAGAAGAAGCAGGCATGGAAAGGTGATCTCACTGTCTTTTTAGGCAGCTCAAACTATAAAGAGACTTCAATTTGAGTTTTTCTACACTGAGATACTATTCTAACATGAAAGGACTAGTGGAAGCTGTCTGCAATGCTGAAGCAATGAGAGATTATGTTGTAGGAGGTGAATAATAATTCTCTGTTTTTATCATCCTGCAATTCATTCCTCTGTGACAAATGTATTTTTTGAAGAAAAGAAAAAAAAAGATCCTTTTATCCTTAGACCTTTTGTCCCAATAAAGCTGGATATCTGATATGGATCAAACCTTTCTGTACCTGGTGCTGTGTGTTGAGGCACGTCCCTGGATTCTCCAATCTCCTTGCTTATTCATGCAGGGAATAAAATAATAATAAATTAATAAAAGTGGTCAGGGCTGGTTTGTGGCTGTCCCCAGGGCTGTACATCCTGCAACCAGCAGTAGCCAAGAAAGTTTGTCCAAGTGCAGAGACAGCAGCACCTGGAGAAGCTTTAAAACAGTATTATATTTGATTACTCTGCTCCATTGCTGTTCAGAGGGTGATTTTATCTTTTGGGTCACCCTCCCTTAATTTGATTCATTAAATCACCCAAAGTTGTGAATTTGAAAATCAGTTGCTTTAAGAGATTTTCAAAACCTTCTTTCTAAAATCAGTAATAGTCAAGAGATGTTGTTTTGGATTCAGATCCTGTGGCAGCCTGTCCTCTGAACACCAGCAATGTGGCTCAGTGATATTTTCAGAATGTTCCTTCAAATTTCGATTTTAAATTGAACAATTTGGCTTGTTTTTAAAACTCTGATCATTTTGTAAGGTTTACCTTCAACCAGACTCTATCAGGCCAGTTCACAGCTATGTGAGGTTCACACAGAAACAGAAAGTACAATAGAGGTCAGTGCATGGCTCCTCATATCCTAAAGCCAAAATGGTGAAATTTATGGGGTTCTTCAGTACACTACAAAGATCTCACATTAACAAGACAACAAAAACAGCAGCAAAGACATGGCATGCAGGGGCAACATTAATTTCATTTATGTGCATTTTTATTTAACATGCACAGCTTTCCATGAGCAGTAGTCTCAAATTCAGCGCTTCTGGTGCCAATAATGACAGCAATAAACAGTGTGATAAAAGCAGGTTTAAGTGAGACAGTGGGGAATTTGGCTGGAACATGAGTGACATACCCTGTAATGAGTTTGCAGCTGAGAAGTGAGCCTTTGTCTGCTTCAACATTCGAGCTGAACTATGAACAGGGAGCCTTTCCTGATTATTAACTTCCCCTTTGCTTTGCCACAGGGCTCACTTGTCAGGAAGACAAGAATGAATGTGAAGAGGGTCTTTGTTTTCCTGGAGTGTCTTGTATGAATACCTTTGGATCTTATGCATGTGGAATTTGCCCCACTGGGATGGAGGGAGATGGTAAAACTTGCAAATGTAAGTGTTTTACATTATTTATTTTAAAAGACTGGGGGGGGATGAGTTCAATTCTACTACTATTTTCCCTAATTGAGTATTTTGCCACTCACTTCAAGTACAGACCCTTAAATGTACAAATCAGACTATTGTCATGTTATATTAATGTGGATATTTGCAAATTGCTCTGCTATTTTTCATTCTGGTGGAGAAGGAGCACCACAGCCTACAAAAGAGCTCTTTACAGATAGATAATTTACCAAGGACACTCTGAACATTCTCCACTATTTCACTCCTAAATACACATCCATGAGTGAGCATTTGGTGAGCACTTCCAGGGCTGATTTTGCTGTGGTTACAGCTGCTAGGAGAGGAAGAGAAAGGTCAACGTGCCCAACTATTCCATCCTTTCACCTCTGTTTCCAAGGTGTGCTTTCATTAGAGCACACAACCCAGGGAATTCTTGGCATGAAGTCATTCCTCAGATCCCAGCTAGTGAAGGAAAGGGCCACAAGCAGTTTTAGATCTGCTCAATATTTGCTTTTAGAGCAACAGACTCTTCTGTGGGGAGCCCACAAAGGTGACTTTGTACTCAGAGACCTTCCCAGTTCACTTGATGTGACTCACACACACTCTGCTTGTTCCAGTCACATGGACAAAAGCCTTCTCCAAAAGAATTTTTCTTCTTTTTTTAACCAGAAGGAGATAAATCAACACTTGAAGACTTTTTTACTTGTTTCTTGATATTTCCAAAGAAATCCAAGTGGAAGATTCAAATATTTCCTGTGCAGCCATTAACATTTCTTCGTATTGACTACAGGAAGGAAAAAAATATCCATTGTAAACAGACTGAGCGGTAGCTACAGGACCCTGGCACCAGCAGCACTGTTTTTGCCAGATTTACCAAATATTCCATAAATCACATTGCCAAACACCTGTATATAAAGTTTTCTGTAATGTATCATTTGGCCACATTGGTTATTTCAAAGTGATTTTGCATCTGTTTCACAAATGCATATTTTAACTTGACCCACAAAGGAAGAATATACCAAATAATGTGCTTTTGAAAAATATAACATTTCTTATTTTGCATTTTTTAATTACAGAAAAAAGCCCCGGTTTCTGAAATGAAAGTTTATTAGAAGGAATAAACCTGAGGGCTTATTTGTTCACCTAGGATAGGATAGAAATAATTATTTTTAGCTCTGATTCAGAAACTTAACATTCCTGCTCCTACCTCCCTTGCTTAAGTGAGTATAAAGACAAGGAGAATTGAAGTTGTTATGTAGCTTCTAAAGTGAGAAACAGCTCATTGTATTGTTTAAAATATATATATAAAGAGTCAGACTATCAGGGCATAATAATTTCTCCTATGACTGGTTGAAATTTTGCTGCATGCCAGCAGCTGGACTTACCTGATCTGCCTTTATTTGCTTGTTGGCTTCCAGAGTAAATTTGTGCCAGTTTACCCGATTTGCTGTTGCTGTGGTTTTTTATCATCAATCACAGCTGAGCTCTAACACCTTGTTTTTGTCTCTGTGATGTTTTCCACAGCTGTGCTTGCTGCTGATGTTACAGAAGCTTTAAGCAATGGCAAAGGTGAATTGAACAGGACTGAGGTTAAGCAGCCACTGCAATCCTTGGAGACAAAGGATTCTCCTGTAATTAAGAATTTTAACATAAGTGATAGGCAAGGTATGTATACAAACATATGAAATCTTTTTCATTTGGGAAAGATTATGGATTCAGAAATCATTAATTTTAACACCTTAACAGTAAACACGAACTAGCTGTTTATAACACACAAAAATTTGAGTTAGAAAAAAATACTCCATACATCAGACTGTGGATTGCTGCTAAACAATTTGACATGGAAGGGAGGCATTACAACAACAACAGTCAGAGTGATCAGGCTTAATTAGACATCACCACTTCTGAGGTGGGACAAAACCACCCCAAATTGTAGTGATTAATGCAAAGCAAGATGATAAAAGTGGCAGCTTATGCCAGCTTGCCATGGACAAGTGATGCTGGTGTTTTATTTCAGTATTTAATGGGAAGCCATTGAATTGTTAGTGAGTTTTAATCATAAGATCAACTCAAGGAATGAACTTACCTGTGGCAGTAGCTTTTCCCAGACATGCAGCACTCTCTGACGTGGGTGTGCACCTGCACCATGCTTGTGTTGGTCCTGCCCTAATGAGTGTTGCATTTTAATTGATTTTCTAGTGAAAGAAGGCAGCAAAAAAATGAGATTGGTCATATCTGTTGTACAGAGACAACAGATAAATAACTTATTTTATATGTAAAAATAACATATATGTGTATATATGTATATATGTATATATATTATATATAATATGTATCTATTATAGATGTATATATAACATATTCTATTATATATAACATATGTATATATTATATATATACATGTATATAACATATTATATATGCATATATTATATACATTTCTTATATGTAAAAATAACATCTTTTATATGTAAAATAAAGGATTTTTTTTCTTACTCTCCTTTTTAAAAATATCTGTACCAGGCCAGCCAACCCCTAAGCAAACCCTGCCTCCTGTAGGTATCCTATATCATGATACTCTAGGTAAAGGTCAAGAATAATGCAGAAAATACATGAGAATCATTATGGAGACCTCACTGGAAGCAATTAAAAAGGATCTACAACCATCATTAAGATTGTATTCATCATCTGTTCTCTGCCTTGACACTATTAAATACTTCACAGGCAGTTCATATACACTTGCTATTCAGTGACATCATAAGTGGTAAAATATTATATACTACCAGAGTGTCAAATTTTGCACATAGTTCTAAGATAATTAAAGCAGTTTTCTGTAATACAAGGTTTGACACATTAAGGATGATTTCCAGATCAGAAACATATGTACTTCACAGTGTAATTTCCAAAGTACAGTATAGGTGCTGTAAGGTTTGATAATTACATTCCAATTATAAAAGACCAAAAAGATGTCAAATAATACCTTTTCTCACTCGGTTAAGCTTTCACTTATGCTGAAAATTACATTTTCTATATTTTACACGATAAACGCCAAACAACTTTGAGTAATAAACTTGAAAACACGTAATTAGAGGACTAATAAATCTTGCTTTAATGAGAAACAGCTGTTCTGTTCCACTGTGCCTACAGGACATTCCCATCTTTGGCTCAAGGTTTGCGAACATTTCGCATTAATTAGACTCAAAAAGAATAAAAGCAGTTACAAAGCTAAATTTTAGGTATGTGTTTCATCTGATAAATGGTGAATAAATGCTTGACCTGCCCTGTTTTGGCCGTGCAGGGGCTATGGCACAGGTGCCACGCTCCCATCTTTGGCTCAAGTTTTGCGAACATTTCACATTAATTAGACTTGAAAAGAATAAAAGCAGTTACAAAGATTTAGGTGGGCTAAACTTTATTTATGTGTTTTATCTGATAAATGGTGAATAAATGCCCTATTTTGGCTGTGCAGGGGTTGTGGCACAGGTGCCACATTCCCATCTTTGGCTCAAAGTTTGCAAACATTTCGCATTAATTAGACTTGAAAAGAATAAAGGCAGTTACAATGCTGGGCTAAATTTTAGGTATGTGTTTCATCTGATAAATGGTGAATAAATGTTTGACCTGTCCTGTTTTGGCTGTGCAGGGGCTGTGGCACAGGTGCCACGCTCCCATCTTTGGCTCAAGGTTTGCGAACATTTTACATTGATTACACTGGAAAAGAATGAAAGCAGTTACAAAGCTTTAGCTGGGCTATACTTTAGGTATGTGTTTCATCTGACTAATGGTGAATAAATGCCGTGTTTTGGCCATGCAGGGGCTGTGGCACGGGTGCCCAGCTGTGCCAGCAGGCCGTGCTTCCCTGGAGCGCCCTGCTTTGACCGCAAGCCGCCCGACCTCGGGTACCTCTGTGGCCGCTGCCCTCAGGGCTTTGTTGGGAATGGTCGGAGCTGTACCAAAGTCCCCAGAGCAGGTATGTTCTGTTTCTTTCAATTTTACAAAGGTTTTGCATAGGAAGGTGTAGGGGGATAGAATATAAGAAAATAAAGATAGTGTAGAAAGTAATCTTACCCCTATGGAGTTGCAGCTGGGCCAATTATCAAAGATTAGGAACAGGCCTGACTTTAACAGGCCACAGCTGTAAGCAATGAGAAGAAGAGTGCTATAAAAGAGTGGGTTGGTTTGTTGGGAAGGAACTGGAGTCAGTTGGCTACTCTGTGAAGAAGAAATAGTCAGTGCTCTGAGGAGATGCCCACGAGAAACACCAAGAAGTTATGAAGCTTTTGTGATAAGGAGACAGCAGTATGGAACCCCTGCAATAATTTGGCAACAGAAAGGCTGTGAGACAGTGTGACCTAACCTGTCATCACAACACTCTGGGATCAAGTGCTGGTGGCTGTGTTGTGTCACTCTCACCTGGGGAGCAGCTGGCAGGAATTATTTCAGCAATACTTGGCTCCATGTAAATCCAGTAGATAAACCACCTCATTTGTTACCAGGGAGAATTCCTCATGTCAGGGCTTGTTCAGTGGTATGAATCACCACATCTGTATTGAATCACCACATCTGTATTTCTGCCACAGCACAGGCACAGAAATGCAGGACTCATTTCCTCCTCAGTAAGATCAGAACATGACATGATAGATACATGCCAGTATTACTCAGCTCCCCTTCTTTCCTAATTCTTCTGTAAGGCATCTGTTCTGCAAGGTGACCTGTGAAGACAATAATAAACAAAGTGTTATGCAAGAACAACTGAAGGCAACAGATAATTAAAGAATTTCTGTGGTATTGTTCATAGCATGAGCAATAATCTTCCTTGGGAGCTCAGAAAATCAGCTGCTCCCATTAATCTGTGAGGACTGAAGAGAAGGCCTCATTAAAAGAGATCTTCTGCTGTGGTGAAAGAAAAGCTGTGTCCTGACCTCAGGCACAAAGTGACACTGACACAGCTGTCATCTGATCCTGCTCTCTCTCAATGATATTCCCATAATTCCATGTATGGTTCTGGATGATTGTCCCCTTTTTACTGCCAGGGGTGCTCATGTTTATTCCTTAATAACAGTAGTTGCCAGGTTAGATTCCTTGAAATCTTTTTCCTAAATATTCAAGACAGAGTGGCTTGGAGCCTGTCAGATTGTTCCCTGACCTCCTACACTTGACCAACCCCCCTTCACTTCCCATTCTGTATCCAAATCAATGGCTGTTA